CCTTAACTCTTTTATTATATAAAATTGATCTCTTTTTAACAAACTTGAGCCCAATTTATTACTTCTCGTCTATTATTTATTTAACTGATTTGAATGGAAACTCAAAATGAAGTTTACTTCGAGTAAACATTAAATATTTTTAAAGAGTTTGCTTTAATTTTACGGTATATAAAGTTTATACAAAGTGTATATATTCTGTAAAAAATCGATAGTAGTTGGAATGTTAATAAAATTTCAATTATTCCTATACTGTATAAATAGATATAGTATTTTATTTTCTTTATAAATACTGAATATTTTATATGAATATTTAATGTATGATATTCTAAGTCGAAATCTTTAAAGATTAATTATAAATTTTAAAATATCTTTAAAATGTAAATAAAAATGTTCATTCTTAAATAAACATTAATTAGCTTTTATTTATACAGTAGTTTATATTTTGAATAAACTTTTCAATTAATTATTTAGAAAAAAATAATGGGAAATGTTTTTAATTAATTTATTTATTAAAGTTATATTACAGCATTTATGACATAATTAAGTAAAGAATTTAATTAATTATTATTAATAAAATATTTCTAATATGTGCTTCTAAATTATGGTTAAATAATTAAATAAGTAATTTGAAATTGAATAAATATAATATATATTCCGTATATAATATACCTTTTCATTCAAATAAATTAAGAAATAATGCATTAAAATTTATAACAAATTATTTGTCAAATATACTATATATGCTATATAAAACACAATAATATTATATATCAGAATAATTTTATCCTTAAATTACTTATGTAATAAATAAAGGTATGAAAGAAATAATATTAATAATAGCATGGATTATGGTTTATATGGTAATGTGTTTGTCATAGAAGTTATGTAAACTTAAGAAAATAGTGGCATAAAAATCATTTTCCTTTATGGTTTTGTTGCATGTTTTCAATGCATTCGTAATCTATTGATAATTTGTATCTATTGATGTATGTCCTTAAATATTAGATATATTTATATCTATTTTAAATATTTAGAATTTGTAAACTTAATTGTAACATAATGTAAAATATGCAAAGCATTACATAATAATTACCAACTTTTTACATTTTAATAAAATTACTATATTGTTGCTAATAATTTGTTATAGTGTAACATTTTACGGTAATAAATTATATGTACCGGTAATATATAAAAAATTTTAATTTTTAAAAGAGAAAGGTTTTAAATAATATTTAATATAATTTAATTAATTTAACATCCATAGTCAAAATCAGAGATAAAGTTTATAACTTAAGCTTGCTAAAAATTGTATGTAATTTTTAATACAACACAATACAAAACATTTTTAAACAGTATTTTAGAATTGGACTTTTATATATTAATATGAATAAAAAAATAAGTTTTTTAATCTTTTGAGATAAAAGAATTGGATTAATTTGCATAATTATGCATATATGTGACAAATTCATTTCTATGCACAATTAACTTTACATATAAAACATAATTATTTCCTAATTTGAATGTGTATACTGTATTTACGGATATTTATACTAACGAATTAAAAATGTCAAACATAATCAAATAATAATTAAAAATTACTCTATTTTACTATAGTTGTAGTTTTTAATAATTATTATTTGAAAATATGGTGTTTGGTTTTTTGAATATATGATAAAATTCTTTGTATAATATAATTACAATCATATAAATGAGTTATTATTATTTTTTAAATATTTATGATATGTCAAAATTATTTGTCAAACTTACAATTAAAATTTTTCAATTCAAATAAATAATTAATTAATAATACAAAATTATTATTACTGTATATATGATTATTACTATCAAATCAAATATTCTTGAATAAAATATTAAAACTAGTAATATTTTTTATATAGATGTACAGTACTGTATATATTTTTCAAAGAGATACTGGGAAATTTGTAATAATCTATATCCACTATATTTTATCGATACCATTAATATTTAATTTTTACTTACAAATGGAAATTCAATTTGATATCAATAGCAAAATCAATTAAATTCATGTAATGCTTTTCATTTAGAATTCAATTTATTTAAAATAAAATACAAATCCATTGAAAAGAGTGGAGTCGTTGTAATCTAATTATAAGCGATGTATTCATTTGAATAGAAACTGAATAAGTGCTCAAAAGTTTGTGATAAATAAATAATAGGTTTTGTTTGCAGACATCGTATGACTAGAACTGAATTGATTACAACATGAGGACAGTTCTCATCACATGGTTGAGGGGACTGTCATTTTTGGCATCATTTCAAAGCCAAACTAATATTACTCGGATTAGCCCAACAGTTATCTCAATAGCCATACATCGGGTGCTGTCGTACATCAGCTCTGATTATTTGCATGAATGTGTCTCACAATCGGGTTTCTCTGCCATTCATAGTATTATTCATACGATTAAGGCCTGCATTTCGAGAGCCTTTCAATCTGTGGTGGAGTCCGTGTTAGTCAGCACTACATTAGGATTTGTTGATAAAACATTCACTAGTTTTTGCAATCATTTTCAAAGAGTCCTATACTCCAATACCCTGCTCTCTCTCTCTCTCTCTCTCTCTCATTGTTTGTTTAATTTATTTTTCTAAATCTAATTATACCCTCTTATTGATATAAAAATTAAATGTTATAAACTTTTAATAGAAATACAAATTTATTTAATTATATTACAATATATAATGAAACACAAATATAGCTTATTATATTAATGTTAATACATTATAATTTCAATATGTTGAATACATTTGATTGGAGTACAAAAAAAGGCTTTGAAAACAACATTTTATTTATTTTGAACGAATCTTTAGAAATCAAATAAAAGCAGAAAATATGTGAAATTCAGTTATTAAGACGTCAAACATAGAGAATCTCTCAAATAAATCAAATTATTTAGTGTTATTGTAGTGTTAACGATACAAAACGTAGAGTTGATGATAAGTTTTTATATAAATTATAGGTAAGTTTGAAATAAATACTGACGAAAAGTTTAAAGTATGTAAGCCGTTAAAGAATGTGAATGTTAAATATTTTCAATTTTAGATAAATTTTGTATCGATTCTCCTTTTCTTATTCACAAGTAATTCAATTCAAATTTTTATTGCATTTTTATCTTTGATTTTATTTTAATATAAACAAAATAAATCATAGATTAATAACTAGAATAGTAACATGGTATATTATAGTATTATAGTAACATGGTTTTGAAACAAAAACAATTATTATCTTATTAGAATTTATAAATTATTTTGTAAAATAAAATAAAACAAAACTTTAATTATAATTATTGATATAAAATCTTATACAATATTTTGTGCTGTTTGAAATATTAAGCCAACCAACAAGTTTTTGACATTAACATTAAACAGTATTAGAAATTGAAACCTATTCCGGACAGTACTTTAGTTTAAGTATCAAATGTCTCCCTTTTAAAGTAAATATTTTGAATTTAAAACTAAATTTAGTACTGTACTACTTTAGTATATATTTTAGCCCACAGACTATTTATGTTACTGTATATTATTGATATGAATATATTTATATATGAAATTGAATTCTTTGATTATTTTAATGTTCATGTTTTAAAAATCATATTTAAGTTCTAAATTAACTTCATGGTAATAGTCTGAGTATAAGTACAAAATTTTAGTGGATTCAAAAATATTCAAACATGAATACATTTATAAGAAAGAAAATGAAAAAAAATATTTTCAGNATGTTTTAAAAATCATATTTAAGTTCTAAATTAACTTCATGGTAATAGTCTGAGTATAAGTACAAAATTTTAGTGGATTCAAAAATATTCAAACATGAATACATTTATAAGAAAGAAAATGAAAAAAAATATTTTCAGAATTAGAGATGAAAGATATTGCACTAGAATTGAATGATATGTTGAACCGCACGCTATATTCAATCATTTATAACATTAAGCCGTAAATAAACTTTCGATTCGATGTTATATTTGGAGATCAAATGAGTTTATGATGAGAACAATAGTCTGCCCAACAATGAGAGAGAGAGAGAGAGAGAGAGAGAGAGAACAACAGGTGGGTGGATATCACCAACAATTACAAAAAAGACCATTAATGAGACTTAGTGTTAGGTCTCTAACAATTCCGTGTATTTATCCTCCGGGCGTAACAATAGTTGTCATTTTGGTTTTGTTTTGTTTTTCATTTGTCGTATTGAAAGTCATTCAAACAATTATTGTATGATTTAAAATTTATTTAAAAACAAGTGATTCAAATGTTAGAGTTGTAGTTGTCTTTTGAAGAGATTTAAACTCAATCGACAGCTTAGAAGGCTTCAGAAAATGTAGGCTTAAATATGCAGTCAAAATGATTAATTTGTAGTTTGATGTCCCTCTGTCTGCTTTACTCTGTAATGCATAGCAATGGCAATCATTTCCTCGATGAATGGATCGATACTTATTTCACTTATTGCCTGTATTTGGCGACTGGTATGTCATTATACATACGAATCAGTTAACGCTCAGCTAATTTATAAATATATTAGGGATTCAATCATATTTTGCCTTGCACACAGATTCCAATCAATTTTATTGACAATATTTATACACAATAAGTTTTCTAGAAAGCTCAGTTATATTTTTACTGTTGAATATTGATTCATACTATAAGTTATTCTTTATTACTAATATATTCTCAACAATTATATCACATTTGAATGCATTCGTTGAGATAATGGCAGTAAACTTGAAAATGAATTCTTTTATATTAATTGCATTTTATTTTCACTCAATATTTATGTTTATTTTTGTTTAAATATATGAAACCTCGGGAAGAGTAGTGCAATGATTTGTATTTTTCGCAAACTTTATTCAGAGCATGAGATGTATTTGTTTTCATTGATATAGCGGTGAGGAGTGTGGAGTCGACTCATATGGATGTGAAGAGTATATATAAATGACTGCTTGTATGCAGCGCTCGATCTTCTTTCGGGTCTTTCCTACCGGTCTCTCAAATGTATGTAATTTCTTATAGAGAGCTATAGTTGGGTTAGAAAGCACTCACTATTTGCTTATAAACGAGTCTTTCAATAGTTGGTAACACAGAAGTGTCCGCAGATTATTCACTGGCAAAGAGTGTTATTTACTTCACGCTTAAGGGCTTATGGTATGCATCCATAGCATCCATACCACTCTTGGATGTTGTTCTCCGAAGAAAAAACTATTAAACGAGACTTGAATTGATTCCCGTTTTTCTCCAACCCCTCTGATAAGTGAGCGAAAGGTGAGTTAAACTATTGAATTTATTTTAAATATAATTTATGTTTTTTGAATACTTTTTACTGCAGTCAAAGCTAATGATCCGATGCTGTGATCAAAGCTATGGTTAATTGATTATTTGGAAGACATTATAGCATTAATTTTGCAACTTTGGCCATTATTTTCGCTTAATTTCCAATCAATTAAACGTCAAAAAAGGTAAGAAAAAGATTCACTATTTGTTGTGTTGAAAAGCGTGTTATCAGTGTTTGGAGTAAATTGTGTTTTGGAGATAAACTCTTGAATAGCGAAACAGAATAGAGACTAATGATTGAGTCTATGCTGAGGCTATGGGTGCGTGCAATGCCTCAGACTTACATAGAAAAAGGTTGTCTCCTCTGTTATGTCGATGCGTTTGATTCATATTGTATTCAAAAGAGTACGGTTTTGGCTGATTTGGGTGTTCCTAATGATACTGTGAATAAAAATCATTTTGAATAATGTTTTTTTCTATGTTGGTTTCTCTCTACCATTTCATTGACGTTAATGTTAATGAACTTTTGCTTTTGACTCAATTTATTTAATTTTTGCTCAACGATGGGGTGGGATGTGATGCACAGTATTCATCACCACAACCAACAACACATAGCAATAGAATTGCAATTCTGTTCTCCCATTCCGTAACAAACTTATAATTCTTTAGCTCTGAAACAGTCATTTATTAGAAGTCTATGAATAAGAGGATTATCAGAGTTTTGTTCAACAAATTGCTATTACTATTAACAATAGCATCGAATCCATTGAAGTTATTGTATGTTTGAGTCTTATATGAAATGACAGGTAATTCTTAAGATGACTCCGAATATTTTAATATTATTTTAAATTAAGTATTAATTTAATACATTACAAACAAAGTAATTATAAGTTTTTTAGTTTTCTATTAGTATACCTTTAATTTACATTTGATTTATTGTACACTACAGTAAAGACCATTTAAACATCTTTCACAATACCATAACATTGGAATGGATTTTGATAACACTTGAAAACTGAAATGAATTTAAAAATTTTATAATTAAAAATCTATGAAAATGTACTTTAGATTTGAAAGGCATTTGAAATAGTTTGGTGCCATTTCTGCAATGAATATCATTTGAGTGATTGTTTCTTTGTTATAATAGTTTTAATGCAGAAATATTACAAAAGATTGGATACAATTCCCTCTTCTCATGTATACTAATGACAACGAATAACACCGGGATTTAGACATAATTGAAAACGTCTACAACTTTGCAGAGAAACAAATTACAAGTTTTCGTCTCTGATTTCTCTCTTCAAACTCTTCTTTTCTTTATTTTCTTTATTTCTTTATTTATTTTGCCAACAAATTAAGCAAATTTTATATTCAAAACACAGGAAAACCTAAGCCAGAGAGAGAGAGAGAGAGAGAGAGAGAGAGAGAGCATAATATTTCTTCATTTGTGGTTCATTTAAAATACAAATTAGAAATAAATAGGAAATTTATTTAATTATTTGATACAAAAATACATAAATAATTGAAACAAAATGAATACCTAGATACTATATTACGGTGTATCAAGCACAGAAGCATAAGTTATATTTCGTTCAATAAACTCTTTATAAAAACATTTGCAAAAATAGAATCGATTGAATTGAACACTAAATATAGTACTCATTGATAATAGACTTCTATTTTTAGACTTATTTTTATATCTATATTTTAATCAAACTATATACAGTATGATATGAATTTTTATTTTACTATTTGATAAAATTAAGATAATTTTGTATTTTATTATTATAACACATTCTAACAAATAATTTGCTATAATTAGTTCATGTTTGTCTGTGTTATTAGTTAAATTAATAAATATCTGAAATCATATAAAATTAACTACAGTATATTAATGTAGAACTATAAAAAAAAAGTTAATTTTATATTTATAATATTATGTAGAAATTTGATAGAATATAAAGTGTAAATGAATAAAAAGAATTTTACTTGATTTAAAAAAATATTATTTGGTACTGTACAATGTTTATTGAATAAGAACAACACCAATGAGTATATGGCAGCAATATTTAAGCCCTTATAAAACAGAAATAGGTGAACATTTTCAAATCAAATATATTAAGCAATGAATAATATATTTATAAGCCACAATATTGAACGAAAATAGGTTTCATTCAAAACGTGTCATTTAGTTGTACAGTTGATAGTTGGACATTGCTCATACAATAGCTAATCTATAATCACATTCATATGGTTTCAAAAATGGATTTGGCGACAGAATATTGAAGAATATATGACACGAAATCTCAAATTTAATACAATAAGAGACCATTGGTTTCATTGAATTCAAATCTACTCGCATTTGGTACTCATAATAAAATATTGATCTCAGAGACTGTGATGTGTTTTCAAATATAATACATTCCCTCTCATCCCAAATCACATTCAGTGTCGGTCTCTCTATTCTTATGTCCGGTTTCTATATGTGTGCCGTTATTATGATATAAATGGAAACCAAGACTTATTCTTTAGGAAAACTGCAACACAACACATATAATATATGTTGAATAAGAGTAACGATATCTTACGAGACATAACGATACATAACAAGTTATAAATGAGTTTACAGTAAACATAAGTTAACAATTTTATTTATCTATTCTCCGTCATTTTTATGCTATGTTCACTGTATTGAATAGTTTGCATCACTAGTAAACCATTATTTTCTTAAATTTAATGAATTTTTTTATATATCCATTATATAACAAAATAAACCAAATGTATTTAGTCACTATACTCTAACATACATTAATATTTTCCGATTAATATTATAAATTTTATATTTAAATATAAACACATTTAATGGATATTAAATATTTAAATTCATTTATATTAGATCTCAATATATATTTAAAGCAAAGAGTTATGAAAAATGGTTATCGATTAGAAGTAAAGATTGTTTTTGAATTCAAAAGCATTTAAATCGATTGAATGATAAAACACTTATATAAACATAGAGTAAACAACCGTATTGAGTACAAAACTACTAATATACCTTACTGGCGATTTCACTACATAACTCTGTAAGTTTGTTACTTACCAGACTTGTCACTTATGTAAACGACTTTGAATGACATTCATATAACAGACAATTTGTCTTCGCATCCGTTTTCTGTGTTTCTTCAAATGCAATCAAACGAAACATTTGTATTTGTTGTGAAATATTTGCACAAATTATTTGATATAACATTAAACAAAAAGCTATTGTTTTATTCCAAAGAGTATTCAAATATCTTCAACATATCTTTGCATAAATATATCATTAAAGAAATGATGATTTTTCAAACACTTCTGCGATAGAAAGTGAATCATAATAATGGAGTAATGGTTGGCATAAAATTTGGCAATTGTTGACACATTCATGCATTCATATGATTGATATTTGTTGACAAAGTCTTAGCATATCTTTGTTGGGAATCCGATCGGTAATGGTTTAAAGCCTATGCCATATAGTCATACAGATAGCCATCGGTACCCAACATATGATTTCCTCGTTTTTATTATTCCATTTGATTCTTACATTTTCCATAAGAATGTGTTTTCCATTATTTCGCAAATAATACTAACTTTTATGATAAAAGATTTATATAAAAATAGATGAGATCTGAGAGTATTTTGAAATATGATTTACTTGTATTGAAATCTGCGACTATTCAATGGGATATCATTTAACTGATCATTAAATGGGAAAAATATTTTGATTTTAGAAAGTCTTTTAAGAAACTTACAGTAAATGTATTTTCTCTCAGATGTCAAAATGTATGGCTACTGAAAAATTGGCGTTTCATTAGTGAAAAATTATGTTTTCTTATCATTTATTTTATCCGCTAATTTGTACACTGTTTTAGAGTTATCTTCCAAATGAATCCAATGAACATTATTAAGACAAATAGCAATAAATAATAAATACTATAATTTTGAGTCTAATAAGAGACCAATGAATTTGAAACAAAAGAGCAAAAAATTAATGATTGGACTCCTGATAGCCCTTAGGTTTTCAATGAGATTAATAACTGATATTTAACAAATGAAAAATATTTTGTTCATTTGTTAACCCAATATATTGTATACTGTAACTGAGAAACTGAGGGGAGAGAGAGAGAGAGAGATTAATATCCATTGTATGTGTATATCTAATGGAGTATCTAAAGGGTCGCAACCATTTGTCAGAAACAGAGTCCTGTCTTCCCTGTGATGTCAAACTCAGCACAACTAGTGATCCATTGAACGTAAGACACAACTCATTGAGTCATCCCTTTCTCTCTCCCTTTCCTCTTCTTTTCTCTGACCTCAGATAAGGACAAGTACTGTATTTTTTATAATAGATCTGAGTTTGTCTACAATTAAATACATTTTATTTGGATTAAACTGCAAACTCACTAAAATGCTAGGATTGACATCATCTAAAATATATATATATACTGTATGTGTAGTATAGCGTTGAGATGTATTGTGAAGGCTGTCCAACACAACAACTGCTCAACAAAAGCCTTTTCGTGTCGGTTAAGAGGATTTTCTTTCAAATGATTAAAATGTTATTTAAGTTAAACTTATACAACATTTCACTGTTACTCGTCTTATATATCGAGTTAAATAAAATAAAGCTTTTATCAATCATACATAAGATTTATATTGCTATTTATATCCGGTAGTAATTACTAGTAGTTCAAAATATTATAAGTAAATTTAAAAAATAATTTAATAATAAATATTTTTATTATAATTAATCAATGTTTAGGTTTCATAGAAACTAATTTAAGAAATAATAAAAGAATAGATTGCCATAAATGAAGGAGAAATAGCTGAGCATAGATTGTATGGTTTGTGAGTTTATTTTGGAAAATAAGTCCAAATTTACGATAAGTCGGTCGTACGGCACGTATTGTCTCATGGATGCCACCAAACACTAGATATGCTCTCAATTGTCGATTCCATTCACTGACCGCTCTTTTGTCGTTCACTACTCTATATATCAATATTTTGTTGTCTTTTTCACTCTGGGTTCACATTTTTCTGTGGTCTCACTCTCATGTCTCTCATCTATCACTCTATACAGCAGTAATGGTTTGTTATCTCTGTCTACAGTATGTTTGCATATGTGTTGGTCTTCACTTCATATTAAACA